GTGACTCCTCCCCGTCGTCCTCGTCCGCGTCCTCCTCGTCCTCGTCGGCGTCGTCGTCGTTCTCCGTGTCCTCCCCTCCCAGCTGGTGCGTGCGTCCTGGGATGTGTCGCAAGCTTGTAGACATAAGCCTAGGAGGCTCGTCGCGATCGGTCGAGTGGTTGCAAAGGCCGTGTCGGGGTATGCTTGGGGCCTCTGGGGTATCTTTTCGGGTATCCTGGCGCCCCTCCGGACCGTCATGGGAACGTCTTGGGCCATCTTGGGGCGAGCATGGGGTGGTCGTGGAAAAAGTCTTTGGGCTCGCGCAGGCCGTGCTAGGAATCTCTTGGGCTGTGTTGGGGCGGGTTTGCAAGGCTACTGGGGCGTCTCGGAGCGCATGACAGCTGAGGCCAGCAAGGTGAAAACTGCAAAAACCCGTGGAGAAAGAACAATTGTTTTTGACAACTTTGGCTTCTCCCGGGAGGCGCCCTGGCGTCATAGGATGGTAGAGGGCTGTTTTTGCGATTTCAAGGGCCGCCGTGGAGTCATCGCGGGCGTCTTGGGGAGGGTGGAGGCCCAGGAAAGGCTAGGAGGAGGCTGCGGAAGGGGTACCATGGGAGTTCGTGGTCCATCAAGGGAGCATCTTTGTGGCTGTCGTGGACCGTGTCTGGGACTGCGTTGTGGCGGTTCTGCAATCCTTTTGGGCCGTGTCGGAGCGCGTGAAAACTGGGGAGCCCAGAAAGTCGAGAAAGGATCGAAACCTAGAAAAAACCATTGGTTTTAGTCACTTTGGCTCCTCCCGGCAGGCGTCCTAGCAGGCTCTAGGGCTGGTTTTGCGGATTCTGGGGCCGCCTTGGGGCAATCGTCGGCGTCTTCGGGAGGGTGGAGGCCCAGGAAAGGTTCGGAGGAGGCTGCGGGAGGGGCTCCTGGGATCACCAATGGAAGGGCGTGGGGCGCATATCGGGGGGGTACGTGGGGGGGGGGGCCGGTGACCTGTGGGGCTTTCCCGTGTAATTTCATAGGTAGCAGGAAATTTTATATATACATACATATATATATATATATGTATACATGTATTTAAATATCGTGGAAAGTATATATGATATTAAATGGCATTGAATTATACATATATACAATATATACACATCAGGGTTTGTGCGCGCGCGTGTTTGTGTGTGTGCGCGGACGTGTGTGCGTGTGTGTGTGGATGTGTGTGTGTTCTGTGTGTTTGGAGTGTGTGTGTGTGTGTTTGTGTGTGTGTGTTTTGATTGTGTGTCTGTGTGTTTGTGTGCGTGCGCGCGTGTGTATGTGTGTGTGTGACTGGAATGTGCGTGTGTGTGTGTGTGTGCGTGTGCGTGCGTGCGTGTGTTTGCGTGCGTGCGTGCGTGCGTGCGTGCGTGCGTGCGTGCGTGCGTGTGTGTGTGAGAGTGTGTGTGTGTGTGTGTGTGTGTGTGTGTGTGCGTGTGCGTGCGCGCGTGCGTGCGCGCGTGTGTGTGTGCGTGTGTGTGTCACTCGGTGCAGCCCCTTTGGCGTCGCCCGACACGCCGCCTCCCGCCGCCGCCCCGCCGCCGCGCGGCACCCCCGCTTCGGCGCCTCTGCCGCCTCCTCCGCAGGCCTGCCCCGCCCCGCCGCTGCCCTGTGAGGGGCCGGCGCCTTCCCACCCTGACACAAAGCCGCGGCGAAGACGATCGGGCGAGGAGAACTCCGGGCGAAGGGAAATCGAGAATCTCGAGAATCTCTCGAGACCCTCAGAAAAAATGTCTCGGGCGCCGCGGCCTGCTCAGAGCGTTCCGGAAAGCTCGGAGAGCGTTCCGGAACGCTCTGGAACGGATCTGTCCTCGTCCTAACCCCGTCCGGCTCCCACCGTTTTCGCCTTTGACCCTGCGGTGGTGGTCCTGTCGGACGTGACCCACAAACAGCCGAGAGACTTCGCTGCCCAAGCCTGCGACGCTCAAGTGTGTGTGTGTGTGTGGGTGTGCGCATGTGCGTTCAAGTGTGTGTGTGTGGGTGTGCGTATGTGCGTTTGTCCTGTTACGTGCTCTTACTAGTGCTCTTTAGGGCTTAGTTCAATAGAACTTGGATGGGTAGCTGGTGTGTGCCCGAGCGCGTGCGTACGCGAGCGCGTCCGGGCGAACGCGTGCGCGCGGAGGTGTGCGCGACAACGCCCGCGCGTGCCCGCGCCTGTGCGCATGTGTGCGTGCAGGTGTGCGCGCGCGTACATGTGTGTGTGTGTGTGTGTTTGTGTTTGTGTGTGTGCGCGCGCGTGCGTGCTTACGTGCGTGCATGTGTGTGCGTGTCTCTGTGTGTCTGTGTGTGTGTTTCTGTGTGTGTACGTGTGTGTGTGTATGTGTGTACGCGCGTGTGTGTGCGCGTGTGTGTGTGTGTGTGTGTGCGTGTGTGTGTGTGTGCGTGTGTGTGTCTGTGTGTTTTGTGTGGTGTGTGTGTTGTGTGTTGTGTGTTGTGTGTGTGTGGGTGTTGTGTGTTGTATGTGTTGTGTGTTGTGTGTGTGTGTGTTGTGTAATGT